TGGACAGAAAGAAGAATAGGAAATATTCTATTTGATTCAGATGTTGATGATTGGAATGTTAATACATCAGTGTTTTGTGAAAGAATAATGTATAAAAAACATATAATAATTATTATTGAAGATACAAATGGCAATAAATTTGGAGGATATATTAATGTGAAAATTGATAAAGTTAATAAAGATATAAGTGATCCAAAATCATTTTTATTTTCATTAGAATCAAAAGGAAGAATAAAAGAAATGATGAAATTTGATATTAATGAACCAGAAAAAACATTTAAAATGTGGGATGAAAAAAACAATTATTTATTTGGTTTTGGAGTTAGTGATATTCGTATTGGTAAAATACAAAATAAAACAAAATCGTTTTGTTGTCAAAGTTCCTTTGAATATAAAGGAATATCAAATACACTTTGTGGAAAACAATATCCAAAATGTTTCACACCAGAACGAATTATTGTAATTGAAATGAAATAATTTTTATTCATTATTGTTTATTTGAAATATAAAAACTAAAACAGAATATAAAATAAAATCAATAAATGAATATAAACATTTCATCTATCAATAAATGAAATAATGAATATAAAAAATGTTCATATTTCATTCTTGTTTTATTTTAATTGAAATATTCATATTCAATGTGTTAATTTAATAAATAATAAAAAGAAATAAGAATAAAAGATAAATAAAAATATAATAAAATATTTATTTTATTCTTTTTTATTTATTTTTTATTTTATTTATTTTATTTTATATTTATTTATTTTATTCTTCTTCTTTTATCTTTATATCTATTATATATTTCTTATTTTATTATTTATGTTATATTCTTATATCATTTTATTCTTATTTTATATTTATTCATTATTATTCATTTCATATTAACATTGTTAAATAACAATACAACATATAATAAATAAATGATATAAGATAAACAACAATAAATAATAATAATAAAATATAAACAAACAATATAAACAAATATAAAATAATAAAATAACATCTAATATAAAATAATAATAATAAATAATATATGAGATACTTAAATGAAATACTGAACAATTTCATTTTAATTCCATTCATTTGAATGAATATTTAAGAAAACTATTCCCCTTTATTAAAATGATTCATATTTATAATAAAGATGATGAAATATTTAAAGATAAATAAAAAAGAATTAATATGATATTTAGTTATGTTGAAGTTATAAATTTGGTTATACTAACATTTCATTTGAACAATATTAATTTAATAAAATTATATTATATGTACTAGTATTGTTTTGTATAATAAATAATTAATTAGATAAACAACTCCTTAATATCAATTATAAATTTAATAGATATTATTTTTAAATAAAATATATATAATTTACCATAAAATAAAATGAATATGAAATACAAAAGATATAACGTGTATGATAATGATCAATTTTGAAATAAATTTATTGATAAATGAGTTAATAATCATTTTATTGTTTTTCATTTTTATCATCATATCATAAACTAACTAGTTATTGTATAACTCATGTTATTTGTTTAATCTATAAATAAGAATTTATTTTTTCATGTTCAAAAAATTGAATCACATTTTAGTTTTAATTAATATTTATTGTTATATATAAATTAATTATCTCAATGTATTTTAATTAAACTATTATTTACTTATTGATAAGTGTTAATGAATATAAAGCAATCTTTTAATTTTTAATGTATTTCTGTTAAATTTGTTATCATTATATTTTTTTTTAGAATAATACACTCATAAAGAAAATGACGAATTAACTTAAAATTATGTTACAAATACCCTAAAATACTTCTTTTCATAAAATAAGTTTACATATAAAAACGGTAATAATTATTTATTATAAATAAAATATTAATATAGATTTAAAAAGGGTAATAACTCACTGAAGATAATATAAAAAAAATTGAGTTTCAAAAAAGTATTTAAATTTAATCGTCATTTGATTGATAATGTATATTTAGTAATATGCTTTACATATTTAAAAAGAAAAGAAATAAGCATCATTCTAAGCATTATTATAATTAAAAATCGTCCTTATAAACATGAACTTTCATCTGAATAAATCAAATACAAATGTATCAACAAATAAAAGAGTTTTTAATAAGACTATTAAAAATTTCAATAAACAGTGTTTCTATTGCATGTCAATGTTACATACTCTTCTTTTCAGTAGTTGTATTGGTTGGAATCACAATTATTTTTACTATCTCTACTAGACATTTCATTAAAAGTCCATGGTGTTATTTTATTGCAATTTATGAAGCAATTCTTTTTATTTTAATGGTATTTAGATTTATTTCATATGCTTTAAGTTCTATAAACAAATCATTAAATTATATTTTTGGTAATAAAAGACAAGTAACTAACCATGAAAATGAAACAAATCATAATGAAATACAACAAAATATTAATGAAGACCAACAAGATGATGATGATAATGAAAACCAAAATACTAGTTTATCACTTTATAAAAAAATTAAAAACATTTCAAATTATAGTGGAATTATCATTCTGTTACTAGGAATATTGTGTGGTTTCTTTTCTTATATTTCATTAAAAAAGAACAATGAAGGAGTTAGTTTTACTAATACATTTATATATTCATATTTATGTATTGGATATATCTTAACGATGTTATCATTTATTTGGAGACTAATAGGAAAAATGATAAAAAATAATCCTGAGAATTTTTGGCTGTGTGTTATACCACTTTATCAACCAATGTATGTTTTAAGTACATTATTCTTTAAAGGAAATAAAACTTTTAGAAAGATTATATGTTTTATTGTTTCATGTGCCCTTTTTAATGGTCTATCTTTACATTTCATTTATGTCTTTTGCAATAATTATAAATTAGTTACAGAAGAATGGTATTATTTCATTTCATTTATTATTTCGTTTATTCCTCTTCTTATTAATTGAAGTTACTGTTCAACAAAAGAATATATAAAAATGATAAAAAATAATCAGATTCAAAAGGTAAAAAAAAGAGAATTAATTTACTCTCTCTTGTTTTATTTTTATAGTTATTATTATTATGTTTATTTTTGTGATGAGTTATGCTCTTCTTTCAGTAAATGTTCCATCAAATAACTTCAATAATATAAATAATTTAAATCTAAAGTTATAATCATCAATACTCTTCTATCAGTGATAATGAATTAATTATACTTTCTGAGAATGAGACTGATTATAATGTATCAGATATTGAACAATATAATGAATGGAATGAATTGAAAATACTCCTATTAGTAAATCATGGATATGTAGTAAAGATTCATTTGATTTTTAATGTCTATTCATTATAATTGTACTACTTAATTATGAAACTAAGTAAAACATGATTATAATACTAATTATTAATCTTATTGTCATTTAATAAAGCTTTTTATTTTAATTAATAATTAAGTCTATTTAAATTTGATTCTTTTTCTATCCAAACAATAATATTATTTATCATCATTAGATTGAATATTATTATTGAGTATTGTAAAGAAATATAAATAAGAATTAAATATTTAATGTGTTAGATGGTGTTGAAATAACAATGAAATGTGTAATAAGAATAGTAAAAGAATTATTAATGAAATACATTGAATAAATGAATAAAAAGAGAAAAGAAAATGAATAAGAAAATATAAATGAATAAATGATAATAAAGATAATACAAATAAGAAATATAGAATGTTAATAAACAAAATAAAGATAAAAGAATCTAATAAGAAATGAAATAGAAAAAGAGAAAAAGAAGAAATGAATAAGAAAAGATGATAAAAACAAAAAGATATTCAAAAAAATATAAAAATCAAATATAAAAAGTTAAAAAAATAATAAAAGAAAAACAAAAATAATAAAAATAATAACAAAAAAAGAAGAAAATAATAACAATAAAATAAATTAAATAAGAAATTATGAAATAAACAATTAGAAATATAATAAAAATGATAAATATTAACATATGTAATGATAATGATTACATTAATAATATCAAATTATCACATAAAATAAAATAATCATAAAGATATATTAAAATGAAAATAAATACAATCATAAAACATAAAATAGAGTATAATTCAATAATAAAAACATCATTATAAAAATAATTCTATTGATATTGATGATGAATATCTTAACATTATCATCAATCAATTAAAATAAAATAAATGAATATAGATAAATGTACAAATATTAATTAGTATTAGAAGAGAAAACAATCTGACAAATAATAAGAGTATTAACAATAAATGGAAATTGTTAGGAGAAAGGAAGAATGAAGAAGATATGAAATGATTTCAATGTATGCACATCTATCTCATAAATACATTTAAATGAAATAAAATTATTGAAATAAAAGAAATCATAAAGAAAATAAATAAATTAGAACATCTAAACAACTGAAATGGTACAGAAGAATATCATGAGATTAAATGAACAAGATGAAGATATTATTAATGAAACAGAAAAAAGAATAAATACATAAAATAATGATAATTACAATTAAATGAATACAATTGAAGTAATAGAAAAGAACAAAGGAATAACACTATACAGAACAATATTCAGTTTAATTTTTAGTAAACTTAATTACTTTTTATTGTTTTATGTACAAATTAACAAAATTTAATAAACTAAATAAAAAATGATAGTATTTGTTTTTGTCATAACACCTTCAGTCAAAGAGTAATTCCTTTAAATCTTTAAAAGTGTAGATTTTACAATTTATTTTCATTCTGAATACAAAATGAGATGGTTCTGTTGAAGATCTTAAAAAAGAATATAAAAGAAAGAGAAATATTTCAATTCAAATTATTGTCAGTTATATAATTATTAATTTGTTTTATTTGTATTCTATTTCAAAATGCCATTTTTTACCATTATTCTAAAAATAATAAATAAGATGAACTGAAAAATAAAAAATTGAACTATTTAATGAAAAAAAAAATGAAATACCAAATTATAAAAGAAGAGAAATGAAACGACTAGATATGGTTTATTTAATGAAAGTAGTGCTTCATGTTATGAGTATGGGTGATATAAAAAATATTGAAATGATTAATAAGAAATGTGGAATTGCAATTAATTCATTAAAAATTAATCCATGGTTTACATCAAAAAGAGACATTAATCAATTTTGCAAAACATTCAATCCAACAACATGTAATTGTAATTCTCTTGATATTGATGAAAGTGTATTAATGAAAGTTGAGAAGATAAGAAACTATGATTTAGATAGTTTTATAGGTTCAATAAATGGAAATGCTACTCGTAGTCAACTTGAAAGAAATTTGGAAATAACAGAAGAAGAAAAAGAAAAACTAATTAAAATAATTCAAAAAGTAGAATCTTTAATTTGTTTATCAGATGTTTCAGATGAAATATTTGAAATTATTATTCAAAATATGAAGAAAAGAATTAAAATAAGATGTGGAGAAACATTTGCAAAGATGTTTGATGAAATATTTGAAGAAATGAATATAAATGAAACAATGTATCCAAGTGAAATGATAATTCATGGAGATGGAGATGGAAGATGGATTAAAAATGCAAAGAAGAGGAATATTATTTTTATTAATGAAAATGATAATTTTATTAAAAAAAGTAATGAATTAAAAATACCAAAAGGTGTTAAATTTTATTCTCCAATAGTTGTTTTATTAGAATCAAAAAAGAAAATAAATATTTCATATATTAGAACATCAATAATTGCATTATTTACAAATATACAAAATTCATTTGAAAGTTCAGATACATTTGATATTAAAATAAAATTTGATGATATAACTGATAATGAAAAAAGAAAGAAAATTTATACAATTATTAATAAATTTTATGCTAATTATATTATGGTTATTGATTCACATCAATTACTAATGACAAAAAATATGCCTTTAATATCAAATGAAATACCTCAATTACCTGAATGTGTTGAAACTCTTCAAGCTAGAATAAGTTATTCAGATATAATAGTTAATCAAAAATATATAGAAAATTTAGATATTTGTTCATTTAATTCTTCTGTTGAACTTCTAACAACAAATAATTTAAAAGCTTTAGTACTTCACGGTATTGCAAAATTAAAGATAAATAAAAGAGATAATAAACAACAAATAATAAAAGATGAAAAAGAAGGACAAAATGAAAATAAAAATATATTTCCTAATCTTGAAGTACTTCGCTTAAATGATTGTTCTAATTTAAATATAGATTTAACATTAGATAAGTTATTAGAACTTAAAATAGTTAAATGTGATAACTGTAAAGTTAATATTAAGTCAGATAGTATTGGTTCAATAACATTAAATGGAAATACCCAATCAAAATGTAAATTTTCACTAAATAAAACAAATCTTATTCAAGTTAAAAATTCTGAAGATTTTAAATTAGCAGTAAAATCAATTATTGAACAAAATATTGAAATATTAAATTCAAATCAATTAAAATTGAAACCAAAATGTCCAATTCATGTATTAACAATAATACATTCCAAAGGAGTTAGTGTTATAGGAAATGAAAGATGTAATAAAATGAAATTAGTTAAATCAACAATTAATAAAATTAATATTAAACCAAAAAGAGTTGTATTTAAATCAATTGAAGAATGTATTGGAACACCACTGAAAGAAGCAGAAGAGATATTTATTGTATCAATGAAAGATTGTGTATTTGAAAAGTTATTTGATAAATGTCAGATGTTATGTATTGATGAATGTGAGAATTGTCAATTTATAATTAACAAGAATGAAATTAAAGAAATGAAAATAACAAATTGTAAAAATACAGATATTAAAGGAGAGTTAAAAATTATTAAAGAACTTGTAACAATAGATAATGAAGGATGTAATATTCCAGAGGCAGAAAATGTTAGAACAGAAGATACAGAAATAATAGAAATAAAAGAGAAATCTAAAAATGTATATATATACATAGATAAAAAACATATTATTATAAGAAATATTCATAATGGTAATAATCGTATTATTATTACTGTTGATCTTAATAGTGATGTTACAGTAGAAAATAGTGAAAATATCTTATTTGATGGAGAATATGAATACTTTGGGAATCTTAAACTCATTAATCAAGATATAAAACGGGAAGTACCTGATTACTGTTTAATAAAAGCTGGATTTACTAATTCATTAACAATCAATCATTGTAATAATATGGGATTTGAAATTTATGGAATTAAAAAATCATTAGAAATAATTGATAGTACAGTAAGAATTAATTGTACTTTAGATGGTTACAATTTTGTGACTAATACAGTACACATTGAAAATTCTAAATTATTTGATTACCCTGCATGTGCATCATCTCATAAGGCAATTATAGATAATAGTACTGGAGTTGATAGTATCATTTCACATTGTAAAGGAGAACTTATACTAAGAAAACTAAATGATACAGTACTCACTTTAAATAAAGATTTGAAGAAGATTAAAATGGAAGAATGTAATGGAATTGATATTGAAAATAATGTCAAAGGAAAAGATGTTAAAATGGTAAGATGTCATGACATGGAAATAGTAGATACTTCAAATTCAATCAAAACTATTGAATGTGATAATGTTGAGGTAATAACAGAAGAAAATCAAGGAATGGAAGGATTTATGCCAGGAAATTTTAAATATGTTCCAGGAGAATTTGGAGGAATGTTCTTTTTTTGAGAGAGAAGAATGACTAACAACAAATAAGTGAATAATAAAATAACACTTGATAAATTTATGTTTTAAAATAAAAGAACTGAACAAAATATCTAATAAAAAGAAAGAATGTATGTTTTTCATTTGAATAAGTATTAAATAATGTATTTAAACATGTTTGAAGTATGATTAAATATTATATGATATGTTTTGATTATTATAAAGTAACATAATACTTCTTTCATATTTATTGATTATTCTTTAAAAAAGTATCAAGAACATTAATTTTCATTAAAAATTATCTAAAGAAAAGTTATTATGTTATAAACATATTTTTTATATTTTGGAATTATTCATTCATCTTTTAATTCAATAATCACCAAATTCTCAAATAATTTGTATTTTGTTTTGATCATTTCAATCAATTGTTTTTAACTAAACAATTCTGATGAAATATAAGAAAAAGTGATATGTTTTATGATATGAATCAAGTTATTTAAAAATTATAACTCAACTTTCAATAAACTTGGTTTTTCTAATTTATTTTGATTACACTATGTCATACTCTTTATTTCTGCTCAATTCTTATTTATAGTTATATCTTATTTCTTTATTTATCTATGAAAAGTAATAGAAGAACATCATTAAATAATGAAAGAAGAAATATAAATAATTTAAAAGTAAAGTTCTTCTTAATAACAATTACATATGATATATCTACAAATTATTCTATTATACTCATTATTTTATCATATTTTATATATTTATAAAATGATTAATACAATACTTAATTCATTGATATTTTATATTATAATTATTTATTATTTATATTCAATTTTAATTCATAGTTTCATTGTTTCAATAATGATTAATCAATATATGATTATTATATTTATATTTTTATTGTTTATTATTCTTTTAATTATTAAACATTCTAACATTTTATATGTTAATACTCATGTTAAAATGATTTATTCTTTTCATTATTAATTATATTTATTCATTCATGATATATTTATGATACTTTCTGTTTCTTATGAATTTATTTATTTCTCATTTATTTAGTATCATTGTTTTATTCTTTTATTATATCATTTCTTGATATTCTTGATTAACTATTCATTTAAATTTTATATGAGTCATTTCAATTTTATAATAAAATTAAACACAAATGAATGAAATATAATCTAAGTATGAAATAGCTTATAGAACTATGTTTAAAAGTTAATGAACAATATTATTAAAAATGAAGATAGAGAGAAATACATTAATTAGAAGAAGATGAATGTAATAATAAATAAAAGAATCATAAATATAATTGATGTACTATCAATATTAATATGTTTATCAGAATTATCTTCTGATTTATCATTAATTTTATTCTATGATTTATCAGAATTATCTATTTTTTATTATCTTGTTATCTTGTTTTTATTGTGATGAAATTTATTGTTATTATTTTTGTATTTCTTCTTGTTTTAGTTGTTTGTATTGTTATTGTTTATTATTTTCTAATTTGTTGTTTGTATTTCTGATGATGTTCATCTTTTAGTGTTGTTGTTAGTGATGGATTTGTGTTTCCTTGTGTAGTGAATTGATGAGAATGTTGTTATTGATGGTATTACTATTATTGAAGTTGATTTACCTGTTGTTTGTTTACTTGATATTGTTGATTGTTCTTTTTCTTGTGATAGTGTTTGTAAATATTGTCATTGTTATTGTGAATCTCTTGTTGATATTGATATACCTGATTGAGATATTGAATCTATCGATGAATGATTTCTTAATATGCTATATTTCATTGTGATACAGATGGTGAATTTATTAATGATTTGATGGTGTTGGTTCTACTGGTATTGTTTCATATTTCAAATATACATTATAAATATTCTGAATGTTATTAATCAAACAATTATATGATTGATTTAATGTGATTTCATCATTCTTATATTTGTTGTTATATTTATGTTGTTTATTTGTTGTTGAAACAAACATATTATCTTATGTTTATTATCATCTAATAATAATATAATCATTGAATAGTTCTAATTAGCTCTTCTCTTTAAATATATCATATTGTTCTATATTCATCTCTTTCTCTATTGTCTATTCATTAATTCTTATTTGAGTTGAATTTTATTTCCACTTTTTCTTTCTTTTGTATTTTTGTATTTATGTTATCATTGCATATCATTCATTCATTTGTTGATGAAATGTTAAAAGATACAAAACTTCATCACTTCTCTAAAGATATTCCATTCTTGTGTTCTATTTTCAATTTAAACAACTAAAACTATTATAATTGGATAAACTTGTTAATAATATCAGATTCAATTCATATTTCTTATTCTTATAAACTCTGATTTAATGAATAATCTTATTGTAATAAATTATATTTGAATAGTTATGATTTAAATAATAAATAATTTATTATAACATCTATATCACTTTATATGCAAATATCAAATCATCATTAACTAAACAAATCCATTTATTATTCATAATTTATTATAATTAAAATCTAAAATATTCTTGATTCAATAAATTTCTATAAAATCAATCTAATTGAATAATGAATAGATTATTATTTATTTGTTCAGATATATAATATATTTTCTATTTGTGTATCAACAAATGGTTTTTATTTTATTTAATATTTTATTGTATTAATATGTTGATACAATTATATATTCTTTTATAATTATTTATGATTATATCATAAATATTTCTTATATTTTAATCTTTTTATTAATTAATTTAAATAAAATAAACACTAATATTAATTATAATAATGATATTTGAAATGATAATATTACAATATTATGAGTGTTTTATATTTAAAATAATTTAGAAATCAATTTAAATAATAAATAATATTTCATCATAAATTCTATTAATATTAATGATTTATAAAATAAAATACATTATCAAAATCATTTGAATAATTATTTAAAACATAACACAATAAACTAATACAAATTTAAATATAAAAGATATATAAAATATAAATGAATAAAGAAATATAAAGAATAAGAAATAACCAATGAAAATAATCAATATAACAATTAAATAAATTGAAAATAAATAAATAAAGTAATAATAAACAAATAACATAAAATAATAAGATAATTAATAATTTATTTGATAAGTTATTTATTCTATTTCTATTATTTTTATATTCATTTTATTCTATATTATTGATGATAATTTATGTTATATTATATTTATTATTACTCAATAAAGAGTATATTATTTAACCACTGGTTTTATTATCTATCATTCTTATTATATTCTCTTTATTCTGATTTGAATTTAATTCTAAATGAATAAAAATGATGATTTGATTATTATAATAAATATTTATATTTATTCATTGAATGATTAAAATAAAAATAATAATAATTGTTGAAATAAAATCATTCATTTCAATATCATTCATTAATAATATCTTCTCTTTTATTATTATTTTTTTATAATTTCAATAAAATTGAAATAGTTATAAATAATACACAATAAACATGTTACAATTGATATTTCATTTCTTTTAATTCTATTACTTTGTTTTCAATCTGTATTCAAAACATTCTCTTGAAATTTCATAGACTTTAATTCTAATCAACAACAATTAAAGAAACAAGATTTCTAAAATGATGTAATTAGTGATGATATGTTGATATTAGTTAATGAAGGACAACCATAAAAACAACATACATTTAATCCAGTGATGTTGTTGATATAATAATTGATTTTAATGATGAATAACTACTAAACAATAATCTACTATTCAGTTAATGATGATAGTAAATTGATATTAGTTAATGAAATACATCCACTGAAACAATCTTTTCCTATTGACGTAATTATTGGTGATAGAGTAATTTCTTTTAAGAAATATTCTGAAAAGTGGTTTTCTTTTAATCTATAATTGCTGTTGGAAATAACAAGTACATTTAATGGTCATAAATAAAACATATTGACTCTTCAATGAGAAATTCAAAGAAAGTGCAAAATAAATCAAGAACAATACAAAAATATTGAGAAATCAATATTTTTAAAAGTATGTTTTAAAGAGATTTAGTTATAAAAATTTTAATTAACTTTAATTCTTGTTTGATTTTAAAACATAACCAATACTTTTGACTCTATAACCCTCTTCATTAATAATTGCTATTATCAATAAACACCCTTACTATCAACCCATAAACACATAGAAATTAGTTGTTGTATTAAAAATACGAAATAAAAGTTAAAAACAACAATAATTGGGAAATAACACTAAACTAAAACAATCAAATAAATATAATAAACTTGTTAATACTTAGTGGCTCAAAGCAGTTTTAGGAAATGTTTACCAATATATTCAACACTCATACAACCAGAGACAAAAATACATATTTCAAAGAGAAAATTAAATATCCAATAGGTTATTAAATAACTCAACAAGAAGTAAATAAAAAGTTAAAACGAGAAATAATAAATTAATAAAAGACTGAAACATAAAAGTAAAACAGAAGAAAAGTTAACGAACACTAACACTAACAAGTTTGATTAATAAATCATTGAAAAATAGAGAATCATAATTCAAAAAGCTAATAACAAAAAAAGTTTTAGAAGAATTTAATCAATAAAAATGTATTCAACAATAAATAAAACTAAAGTTTATCTCATTGATTAAGGAAAAAAGTACAGAAAGAAAATTAAGAGTGTTAAAACTATATCAGATAAGAATGATGAGAGTATTAATACTATAATCAACTAATAAAAATAAAAAATGTTTAAACAAACTTTATTGGAGATGAAAGTGGAAATAAAATTTGAGGATAAATTGATTCTTAAATAAATAAATCAGTGAAAAAATTGAAGAATGAATCTAATATCATTTATAAATACATTAAATTGCCTGTTTATGAGTTAGTTAAAAAAACTACAAATGTTAATTAACAATTAGATATAACAGTTAAAAGAAAACAAATTAGATAAAAGATAACTAACCAAATTAACCAATATATAATATCCTACCAATACATTGGTAATATAAATTATTTTAACAATCTTTTGTATTTTAGAACTTTATCAAGATGTAAAATCATAAACAATAAAGAAATACACAGAAATAAAGTTATGAATTAACTATTTTATATGAATAAGAATAATAACAGAATACAACACTAATTATTAAATAAATATAAAATAAAACCAAATAGAAACAAATTCTCTAAGAAAAATAAAAATTATAATAAAACACTTCAATAAATGATAATGAATAGATAAATAATTCTTATTAATAATGATTATGTTATTTTGAATCTTTCTGGTCATAACTAATTTAAACCATATAATAAAATTATCAAATGAATTAATAAATAAAACCATTCTTAAGATTCATGTTGTTTCATTGTTACATTAACCATTTTCAATCAATCAAATCAAAATAATAACAAATTTTAAATTGAAAAATAAAGATTACAATAAACAAAATGATTTGAATTCTTTTCAATTTGATTCTATTATTAAATAATTAATTAAATTATAAATATTTAAAAAAAAAAACTATAAATTAGTTAAATTATTATAATAAAATAGAAATAGATTTTAATTAAATAAATTATTTCAGTTAATTTAATTAACAAAAAAAAAAAAAAAGAATAAAAAATTTCTAATAATTAATATTTTAGTAAAAATATAATAAAAGTAATAAGAAAAATAAAATAAAAAAAAATAGTTTTTAAGAACTTTAAAAGAAGATAGTTTAAGTAAAAGTAATGAGTTTAATGAAAAAAAGAATAAAAGAAACAATGGCTAAACCATTAATTGGTACATCATTACAAGATATGGTAAAAGGACTTAGATCAAATGCAGGAAATGAACAAGCATTTATTAATCAAACGATTGCAGATATTAAGAAAGATATAGTAACATCTGATATGAAAAAGAAAGCTATTTGTATTCAAAAATTAACATATCTTGAAATGCTTGGACAAGAAACAAATTGGTCAGGATTTCATATTATTGAACTTTCTGCTAAACAATCATTTTGGATGAAACGAGTTGCTTATCTTGCAGCCCAAATTTGTTTACATGAAAGTGATGATGTTTTAATGTTAATTACTAATCAATTAAAGAAAGATCTTCAAGGAACTGCATATGAAAGTTGTAATGCATGTGCATGTTTTTCTGCTATTGTTAATGAATCACTTGCACGTGATCTTGCAGCTGAATTAGTAAAACTTCTTACATCAGGAAAAGATTTTTTAAGAAGAAGAGCATGTTTAATGATGTATCCAATGTGTAAAGAATATCCAGATGCATTAAGACCATCATTTGCTAAAATGAAAGAAAAATTAAAAGATAATGATCCTACAGTTGTTGCAGCAGCATGTGTTTCATTTGTTGAATTAGTTAAACATGAACCAAAACAATATATTTCACTTGCACCAATATTATATGAAATTATTAAAGAACCAATAAATCAAAACAATGATTTACTTATGACAAAAGCTATTAAAATACTTGGAATGCTTGCATCAGTTGAAATAAGACTAGCTAAAATTCTTGTAGAACCATTTAATTCATTATTACAAAGTAATATTACTAGTTCTATTCTATTTGAATTAATTAATGCATGTATTATTGGATTAAATAAACATATTCCAACAATGAAAACATGTCTTGGAAAAATTAATATGATGATTCAAGATAATGAAGGAAATATAAGATATTGTGGATTAAAACTTCTTGGATTAATGATGACTAAACATCCTAAAGCAGTAATTGAAAGTAGAGATACAGTATTAGCATGTTTATCAGATCCAGATGATTCATTAAGAAGAACAGCACTTGAATTATTAATTGGAATGGTAACAAAAAAGAATATTTGTGAAACAGTAGATAAATTATTAGTAATTGTAGAAAAATCAGAGAATTCATATTATAGAGATGAATTATTTTTAAAAATTATTGAAATTATTAAAAAAGATAATTATGATAATGTTACTGATTTTGAATGGTATTTAAAACTTTTAAGTAGATTATCAACTCAACAATTAGAACAATCTGTATTTAATGTTATTTCTAAAGAAATATCAAATATTATGGTAAGAGTACCAGATATTAGATTATTTGGTATAACACTTTTAAAAACTATTATTACTTCTCATAATTTCCTTCAAATGGCAAGTGGTTCAAATTTAATTGTTGAATGTGCTTGGTGTGTTGGTGAATATATTTATTATCTTACTAGTGAAGAAACATTACAAATGTTAAGACATTTAATTAATGTTAAACATACTTCATTAAATCCAGATGTACAAGCTTCATTCCTTGAAGCAGCATTTAAAACATTTATAGAAATTATTGATCCAAGAGATCCTGCTGATATAGAAGAAGCAGATGATGATGATGAAATTATTTCAATTTCTAAAACAAAAATGTCAGATGATGATTTAACTAATCTTCTTGCTGAAATTGATTCTACATTAACTCCATTTGCTCAAAGTACTCATCTTGAAGTTCAAGAAAGAGCTTGTTTTATGTTGGCTATTGTAAGACAATTTGAAAGTTTAAGAGAACAAGGAATTGATGTTATTAATGAATTAAGATATTTAAATGATGAAATTCTTCTCCCAGTTAATCCAAAAGCACAAAGTTTAATTGAAATACCAGAAGATCTTCATTTAGATGATATTATTAATCCTGAATTTGAAGAAGCTGGTAAAGAAGATACTCCAGATGCTTATTTATTTGATGAATTAGTTGGAGAAAAAGGTGTTAAATTTACTAAATCAAAATCAGAAAGAAAAGGAAATGCTTTTTATATTGATGATGATTATGATGATGACTTATTTGAGAAAGATATTGATGATGAACCAAAAGAAAATATTAAATTAGAAATGAAACCTGTTGAAATTGATACTTTCTCAAATGGAGTTGAAGGATTAACAGCAGAAGAAGAATTAAGAAAAGCATTTACTTTAAGTAAGAAAAAAGGAACAAAAAAAGGTTCTTCTAAAGGAAAGAAAGGTAAAGTAACAAGTGAAGTTATGCCAGAAGTTATTAACAAAAAAGAAAAAATTGAAGAAAAAGATAAAGAAAAAGATAAACTTGCTCAAATTGATCTTGCTGCACCAGTTAGTGAAAAAGAATTATTAGCATTACCACAACATAGATCTCAAAAAACTACAGTTGTTGAAGTTGCACAACAAAATCTTCCAAGAATGGAAGGTGGTAAAGATTTATGTAAAAATAAAGCATTTGGTGTTAAGTATTTACTTAAAACTAACAAGAAACATCCAACTAAAGTTATGATTCAATTAGAAATTGAAAATTTCTGTGAATTTAAAACATCTGTTGCAGTTCTTATCAATCAATCAACTTTATATACTATTGACTCTATTAGTAGAACTACTCCTATTCCTATCGGAGGTTATATCTTTGTTACTATCATTGCTGACTTAAAAAAGATTAATTCAGTTGTTTTGAAAGGTGCTATTAAATGTGCTGCTGCTCAGACTTCATCAAATATCGCAATTAAAATCCCTGCATCTACATTCATTATTGGTACTGAACTTTCTAAACCAGAACTTGCCCAAATTATTAAAACAAAGAAAATGATTTCTATGGCTTATTCTGTCCCTGAAGATACAAAGTTTGACGTTGTATCATTGTTTGAAAGTCTTCAACTCCTTGCAGTTAAGGGTTCTGCTAATAAGATTTGGTATGGCATAACTCTTAAAGGAGATGACATCGCTATTTTACTCACAAACAAACAAGGCAAAATCGGTTTTGACCTTAAAACCACTGACAAAATATGTGGTGATGCTATATTGAAACAAATCAAAGAAACACTTGGACAACAGTAATTAACTGATTTTTGTTTCGTTATATAAAACATAATAACTCTTAGTTATCATGAGAGAAAGAGAGAAAAATCAAATCATTAAGATTTTTCAAAAATTAAAGAAATAATAAAATAATAAGAAAAAGGAACTATAAGTATGAGAAGGTAAGGATGAAGAAATGAAAAAGAACAGAATTAAAGAAGAAATATCAAATGAATAAGAATTTTGAACATCTAAAAACTGAAAAATACAGATAAGAAATGGTTAAACTTTTCTTAGTGTTTTCATTGTTTCTATTTAGTTATGCCCTTTACGATACATGTCAAACAGCTCATGAAATTTCTTTAGCTGATTTAGATGAAAATAAAGTTGCTTCGTTTGATGGAGATACTACAAAACAAACAAACTTTTGTTGGGTTTGTAATCCAAGATTTGGATGTGGAGTTGATCAGGATTCATTCCCAAGATCTGCATTCTATAAATTTACTTTAAAACAAAATATGCCAATTGAAATTAGTACTTGTAATACTTACACTAATTATAATACAAGAATTGCTGTTCTTACAGAATGTGAAACAAGTAGAGCTCATACATGTGCATCATCTAATGATGATGATGGAGAAATAGATGTTTGTGCAGGAGGAAAGTCACAACTTGTATTTAATGCTGTAGCTGGAACTACATATTATATTGTTGTTTCTGGAACAACTGCTTCAGATGTTGGATTGTTTAGAGTAACTGTTAAAAAATTTGAAAACTCATATAAACCAACATGTGCTGATGCTAAAACAGTTTCATTCCCAGGTACATTTAATGGGTACATTGATAAAACTATGCCAGTTACTGTTCCAGGTCAATCTGGAAAAGATTCATTTTATGGTACATGGTTTAAATATGTATCTACTTCTGACCAATCTGTTTTTATCGATACATGTGGAGATTATACTGCTGATTTTGATCCAGAATTGTATGTATTTGAAGGAACAGATCAAACATGTAGTGATGTTATTAATGTAGGGTATGATGATAATACATGTGGAGGTTCTAATCCAAGAATTAATATAAACTTTAGTAAAGGAAAAGTGTATTATATTCTTTTAAGTATGAAAGATGGTGAAAAGGGACAATATCGATTAAATTTAAGAACTGGTGTTGCTGAAAATAATCGATGTACTGGGGCCATCGGAATTACTTCTCTTCCTTTTAAAATTACTTTACCAATGTTAAACTTTGTTCCAGAAGTACAGTCGTGTAATAACAATAAATATGTTGGAATGTGGTATACTATTGTAGGAGATGGAGGAAGATATATCATTGATACTTGCGATAGTAATCCTAATGGAATTGGGTCAGGGTATGTTACAGGTCTTGAAATATATCCATACTGTTCTACTGACTCTATGGGAGAATGTCTTACTGAACAGTATTCTAATTGTGGAGATGATGCGTTTATTGAAATGGAGTTAAAAGAAGGAGTTCTTTATTATATTAGAGCAACATGTATTATTTCAGATTGTGCTGTTACATTGAAAGTTGACAAAACTGATGCTACTAATAATAATGCTTGTATTAAACCAAAAATTGTTTCATTGTTTAAGGATGGAGATTCTTATGAAGATCTTGGTGTTAATGCAAGTAGTTTAGAACTTTCTCCAAGTGGATGTGATTCAGGAACACATTATACTCGTGGTGGATGGTATGCATTCCTTTCTGTAACAGAAAAAGTTCAACACATTGATGTTATTGTAACACCTAAATTACCAAATGACTATTATCCATACATAGAACTTCATAGCGATTGTAATATGTATTATTGTGATGATACTTCATCAAATATGATATTCTCATTCCAATTTGCTCATAAACTTAGTCATAATTATAAGATTTTATTTGCAACTGTTAAGGCTAACAAAAAAGATATTGATCCATATGGTTCATTTGATTTCTGGGCAACAATGAAGGGTTATATTGATGGTGACTCATATTCTAATCCATATAAACTCACAACAATTCCGTTTACACATGTTGGATATATTGATACTGTTGCACCATTTGTTTCTGCATGTTATTTGAAAAATCATAATAAAAAAGTTACAGTTAATGGTGCATGGTATAGTTATTTCCAAGCACCAAATAAGACTGTTATTATTAATACTTGTGGTCCAGAAACACACATTGACACAGCTCTTGAAGTACTTAAACCAGGAAAAACATTTGAAGAAAGAGAATGTGTGTTTGGAAATAAGGACGACGATTCTCCTAAGTGTGGAGAACAAGCTAAACTTAGTGTATATGGTTTTGAAGAAACAACTCTTCTTTATACTGCTGTTATTAGTGATCCTGAAACCAATAACAATTATGGTACTTATAGAGTTTCATTCTACTATGACGAACCACCAACAAATAGTAAATGTTCTGAGCCTGTTTTTATTAATAATTTCCCATATGACCATTACACTTATATTACTAAAGCTGCACAAACAGTCATTACTTGTAATTCTACTTCTAAAAGTTCTTTGGGAACATGGTACCGTATTACTGCTCCTCATGATGGTACTTTCTATCTTTTAGCAGATGATCTTTCTGAAGTAACAACGACTATTGCTTTATTCTCATCCCCATCATGTATTGTATCAGAAGGTATCAATAGACCAACTGAATGTATTGATATATTTGATCATGAAAATTCTCCATATGGTCATAGAGGAAGCCATACTAAATTAGAAATGGAAAAGGGAGATGAAATCCTTGTTTTTGTTGGTGCTGATTCAACTGCAGAAGGTATTGTTCATTTCAAAATGACCTTTGTTGAAAAAGAAACTCCACTTTTCATTCCAAGTGCTTTCTTCTTGAGTAAATTATTCTGGGTTATTCTTGGATATTTCATTATTGCACTTGCTATTCTCACTGGAATCCTCTTTGGAATTCTTTATTGGTTTAATAACAGACATAAAATTGACTATGGTAAGTTATAATTCTAGGTGCTCGTAAAACAATTTTTTTTATGACTTTTTTGTTTATATTGTTCTTAAAAAAATAATATTAAAGGTAAAACTAAATTAATTGTATAAATTTCATTCAAGTGGATCTGCAGAATTGCTTCTTTTTATTGGTTGTATTATTGTCAGTGTAGTCGCAGAATTGGGCGACAATGTTGGTTTTCTTTTTCTGACAGTTCCTCTAAGAATTCGAGGATCAACTTTTAATGTTAAGTCTTCAAATGTCTCATCTGATGCCCCTGCATCAAAGACGTTAGAATATTCACCAAAAATATCAGCAAAGTTTTCTGTATAAGGTGATACCTTGCCAAAGAATGTGGATTGGTTTTCAATTATTAGTGCTAATGCATTATTCAAAATTGGGGTAATTGCTGCTATTGAGGTACATGTCATATCTTTCTTTCGCATTAGTCCAGGTGCTAAACAAACAGCAATTGACTGAGCAGTCATTTTTGAGTCTTTTGAATGAATAACCTCGTTACATAAAAAAACTAATTTCTTTAAAAATGTTCTATTTGAGGGGGGGAGTTTGTTTATCATGCTACGTATTGATGTAATAAGACTCATTTTATTTTGGGAATCCATACATGATACTAATGGTTGAAGAAATTCTTCAGGCCAAATAGGAGACTTAAGGTTTCGAATAAACTTTTTTAATAATGAAGATAAAGTTGTATTATCTAAATTTTTATAATCTAAAGAACGAATTGATTCGTAGTATTTGTTTAATCGTTCTGTATCAGAGGATAATCGAAAGAGTGTGCTTTTATCATTTTTCGAATAATACAACTCAGTCATAATTCTGTTTATACCAACAGGAACTTGTTCTGTAGTAAGGTGTTCATCTTCGATAATTTCATCTAAGTTTTTAAAAGTGTAGATTTGATTTAATTCACAATCCTCTTTGAATTCTTTGATTAGCTGAATGTTAATTATAAGTAAATACAAAGATATTAAAAAAATAGGTACAAACTCTAGTTGCAGTATAATCAAACTCTGAGGTATTTTCTAATGAAGGAAAAAGTTGTTCTACTCTGTTACAAAATGAAGTTAGAGCAGAATAATGACAGATATTTATTTTTTTATCGTCTTGTATCTTTTTTATTTCTTCATTGTTTGAAAAGGAAAGGTCATCGACCAATAAATTAGAACTAAGCTCTTTTGATAACTTTTCATACCAAGAAGACTATGACATGGGTTATTATTTCTTGACACTTCAACACATTTACACACCCAACAGTTAACAAACAATAATTTTTAATTTATCTGCTACTAAACTTTGATATGACCCAGATGAATTGATCAGTTGAAACATTGAATTTTTGTGTATTCCAACTGGGGTTGTATTACCTATAGAATGTAAATGAGATTGAATTTGAAGTATTGACTCAATAACTTTTGGAAGGTTTTTTGTAATTTCTTCACACCTCAACTGAAGAAGTTCAAACAATTGCATTTGATCAGTGATATGCTTCTTTTTATCTTTTCTGTCTTTTCTTTTTGTATTCATCATTTATAACCTCAAATAAATTTTTTCAGTTTTTCCTTTTTATTTATTAACTAAAATTCCTTTGGAATCTCTTCATTTGAAATAGAACTTGTAATTATTTCAAGAAGAAAACAAAACTAAGAACCTTAATCTTGAGATTGTGAAAAGAAAAGTGAATCAGAAGCATTTAAAGGAGTTTTTGTTCAGAAAAATTATTGAGAAAGTATGACCACTAAACAAGAAAGAAAGGAGATGAACCATATCAAAGAAATTGACTATTTGGATAAGAAGTTAGAGTATAAGAACATGAAGAATGAAATTAAATTCCTTCATAAGAAGAAAAACATCGTTGACAAAGATGATTCGTTGGCTGAAAGACGTGATGCTATCAATGATGAACTTCACCAACGTGAAAATGAACTCTCACAATTGAAAACTGAGTACAAACAAAGAAAGTCTGAAAGGGCCTCACTTGTCCATCGTTTGGTTTAATATGACATTTTTCTAATTCAGTCATTTTTATTATTGCTTAAATTCAAAACATTCTTTTATATATCATTGACTTCAAAGTTTTTAATTTTAAACCAAAAAGTCATCTATTAAATGCTATTTTAAATGACTTAATTTTTTTTTATTGAACTATAATGTTATGTGTTGACTAAACAGAAACATATTATGATGTCTCTAAAACATATGATAATATTAATCATCAATTTGTTAAACAATGTTTAATTTATTTTAACATCACATTAGTTGTAATTAAAAGTATATTATATATATTAAATATTACACAACTATAATTATATTATATTCAACAAAATGTAGGTATAATTAATGTAGAAAGAGGAATAATACAAGGTGATAGTTTATCTAAATTATTATTTGTATTATCTATTGATTATATTATCTAAACAATTAGATAAACAAATTAATATTTTATCTATTAAAATGAATGGAGAAGAAAAACAAGTAAAGTTAAATAATATATTATATATTGATGATTTAAAGATAATAACTAACAACATCAATGAAATTGAAAAAGCCCACAAATTAACAAAAGAAATATTTAATGCAATAGGATTAAAAATAAATGTAGAAAAGAGTGGGATAATGAATAATATCAATGATTAAATAAATGAGAATTAGCTGAATTATCAAGAGTAACTAATGATAATCATTATAAATATCTTAGTATTGAAATAAGAGATAAAATAAATATTAATAAATATTATACATGATTATTAAATGATGTATCTTCTATTCTATCATCATTAATTATTATGAAATATAGTAATCTCAATACAATAAGAAAATTAATAATGATATAATCTCAAAATTAAGATATGGATTCTGTATTGTCAATTGGAAATTAGTGAGTTTGAGAATATAGATAAACAAATAAGAAATTCATTGATACAACTCCAACTATACAGTAGAAACATACTAAAATTAGATTATATGTTACAATAAATGAATTATGAATGTGGTTAATGTCAGCACGAGATGAACGTTGTAATGAAATATTAAGAATATATTAAAAATATAAATATCAAATACAGAAATAAGAGAAATGATAGAAACAGTAAAAGAAAATCAAATGGAATAATTAAAAGAATGAAAAAAGTATTTGGTAAGAAAATTAATTTTAATAAATTAATATAATACAAATAAATGAAATAAAACATGATGTAAACAAAGTATTTGAAATTGTAACAAATAAATTAAATGAAAGATATTTAAATGAATGGAAAGAAATGCAACGAAAAAAAGCAAATAAGAGAAAAATGAAGAGAAAGAATGATATAAAAGAAAAAAGTGAAATTAGGAAGTAGAAGAAGATGAAAAGAATAAAAGTAGAAAGTTGAGAATATAAAATGAAAGAAGATAAAAATGAATAATTCAAAAAGAGATAATAAAAGATGAAAAGAATGATGAAATAAAGGATGTATTTTTTATTATAGAAATTAGAAATATGAAATAAAAAAGTGTTTAATTTATTGATGCAAATTATTTAACATTATTTTATTGATATAATTTATTTTATTCTTTTTTATGATTTTTATTTATATGTATTATTTATTATCTTTTTTGGTTCCTATGATACTTAAAATAAATAAATAAAGTGATCAATTACATCTTAATAGAAATTGTTTGTATTATTTGTAGATTTAATCACATTAATATTGATATTTTGATCATAAATATATTTGAATTTGATAGAAACAGTGTTCAATACTATCTTTCACGTTTTTAATTACAACATTTTTAAATTCTTTTAGTTGTTAATTTCATTTTTTAATCACTGATTAATTCTATACTTTCTGTATTTACTAATACATTGATTGAATTTATTATTGTATTTTAATTTATCTTCTTTATTCTTATTTCTTTTATTCAAACATTTCCATTCATGTTTAACCAATTATTTCAAAATCATATAGTCCATTTATTATTCTATTTCTTTGTTTTCTTCTATTTTTTCTTTATTCATAATTATTATTCTTGTAGTTTTACATCTTTTATTTGTTTCTTTTCTTTGATTATTAGTTTTTCTTTTTTATTATCTTCTTCCTTTCTTTTATTTTTATTTTAACTGATTCTTTAAATTTCTCTATTTTCATTTTATTTTGTTTGAATATACTTCTTGTTTTATGTTATCATTTTTCTTTTCTTAACTCTATATTTATTTCTTTGTATTCTTATTTTTTTTATTTTATTTCTTATTTTTATTTTAATTTTATATTTGTTAATTATTCTATAATTCTTATTGGATTCATCTTTATTGTAATTCTGATTATTCATGTTTTTCTATTCATTTTCACTCAGTTTCTTTTTATTCACTTTCATTGTATTTCTATACTATTCTTATTGTACATGTTATTACTACTTCATCACTCTTCTTTATCTACTTGAACGTTAATGTCATGTTTAGTT